CTTCAAAGAGCCCTTCAGGTTGGTGTGGGAATGGGGTGATCTGATCAAAGCCAAGACCCTGATAGTTAGGCAAAGCTAGAGTGTCTGGGAGAATTTCCTGGAGGTGATAGGCATTAAAGGGTTCTAAAGAGAGGGAAGATGAAATCACCCTCAATGTACTAGACTCTGGCTTCAGGATGGTGGGGCCCTTTATTTTATTTATTTTTAAAATTTTGAATCCCCCTGACTTAGTGTGGGGAGATTCATAGTAGGTGCTCCATACATGCTTGCTCAATAAATGGATGGGTATGGGTACTTGGTCCATAGTTAGAGAAAGGAATAATGGAATGGTCTCACTAACTCTGGTACATGCCATGGGGCTCAACAGCAATACTTATTAAGAACCTATTGTGCTCTATAATCCACAAATGAGTGAGATCATGTGGTATTTAGCTTTCTCTGACTGGCTTATTTCACTTAGCATAATGCTCTCCAGTTCCATCCATGCTGTTGCAAAAGGCAAGCATAGACAGAGGAAAAGGGACAGACCCAAAGACTGAGAAACAGCGATCAGGCTATCAATCCCCAGAAGGAAAGTAGGGGAGGGCGGGGGTAAGGGGAAGAGATCAACCGAAGGACTTGTATACATGTATATAAGCCAAACCAACGGACATGGACAACAGGGGGATGGGAGCATGAGTTTGTGTGTGGGGGGGAGGTTGGGGGTTAATGGGAGGGGATGAGGACACATTTGTAATACCTTAACTAATAATAATAATAATAAAAGAACCTATTGTGTGCTGGGAGCTGCATGGGGCATGGCTCTAAGGGAGGCAGCCAGTGAGCTAAGATTATTCCATTCCTGCCTCTGAATGTGCCTTGCACTTTCCCACCTCCAGCTTTTGTCCATGTCAGTCCTTTGGCAGAAAGACACCTCCCCTCCATTTCTACATCTCCCAGGGGGTTTCCTCCCTAGTCCACCCTGCTATGCCCTGCTCCTCTGGTCGCCGCAGGTTGATAGGGAGTTGGAGGCAGTGCTGGTTTGCACACACGACTCCCGGCTTGCTCTGGACCCTCCATGGTTGAGCTGTAAAGGCCCCTGCAGGTTTTGTTTCTGTCTCTCCTGCTGCAGGTTCAGCATACACAGCCCAGGCTCCAGTTCCTCCCGGTGGGCAACAAGGCAGACCCAGACTCTATTCCCTGCCCCAGCCTGGGGCTCCCATGTTGGAGGAAGGCTCCCCCTCCAGGGGCTCACAGTTTCCAGCACTCTGGGCCAAAGAGGGGCTGGGTCCCAAAGAAATGGTTGAGGCTGCCCAGTCAGGCCTCTCAGCCCCAAACTAAGCAGGATGACCCCAATTATCTGACTTATTGAATAGCCTGTGAAATTGTTAAGACCCCATATTTATTAGACATTCCCATGGGTTGCTGCTCTCTGCTCAACATTGTGACTGCCCAGAGCAAATCTTGAAAGTGACTGATCCATTTCATAGTCTAGAACCCAGGACTCAGAGTGAGAATGGCCATCCCAGGTTCTCACATTAAATAGGGCAGGGCAGACCTTGCCCTACTCAGCCTCCGATGACCACACAGGAGATCAGGGCTGCCCAGAACATGGCCCTGGTCACTTCATAGTTCTAAAACCCAGACAAGATATTGTGTACCTCTCCATCCTTCCCACTGCCCACCCTGGCTCCACTTTCATTTTATGCTCCTCCTTAGTGGCTTCTTCTTCCTGTTTTAAGTCCCCTGTGACTCACAGCTCCTTAGCCTGGGCTCCCATCATGACCCTGCCTGGAGCACCCTTCCAACTCCTCTTTTTCTGGGAAAGTTTTCCTTTTACAGCTGGCCTAGGAAGCCAGGAGGCAGGCAGGGACTCCTTCCTGGTCATGCTTCCCTAACTGGGACAAAGAAGGGCCCCAAGAGATTCCATTCATTCATCACCATGTCCTCAGCCCTCCTCTGTGCCCATCCTGTTTCCAACCTCGGCCCTGCCCCTGGAAGACCCTCAGTCCATGTTCCTGTTGATCTTCACAATAGTCCCCTGGATTGGGCAGATGAGAACCAAACTCAGAGGTTAAGCAACTTGCTCATAGCCACACAATTCACAAAAGCTGAGTGAGGACTAGAGCTCATGAATTCTTTCTTTGCATTCATGTTTTTTTTGGTCCAATGCACAAACTGAGCATTTATCTCCTCTGGTTCATAACATTTAAAAATCTTCCTTTAGGTTTTCCCATGATTTTTCTGGATCCAGGTGGGAAGCAGGAACCAGCCAGGGTCCCCTAGATCTTTAGAAGACCTAGACTAGAGAGTGTTCAGGGCACTGAATTGGCTTTGGAGCTGACAGGTTTTGGGGTCACTTTCCTTGAGCAGAGCCAGGCACTCACAGGCTTGATTTCCAGGAGCAGAGGTTGCTATGGCAGCTGCAGGCTAAGGTCAGGTCTTTGGGCTCCTGGGTAGGAGAAGGACTCATCAGAGCCCTTTTAGAACTTAAGTCCAATGTTTTGTCTTTCAGGCTGGCTCAGTCCTCACCCTGGAGAAAAGTTCACATTTTCCCAAGGTAGCCCCTCCACTGTTAGAAAGTTCTCCTTCAGCCACTCTCAAATTATCACTCTCTCCCCATCTGCTCCTCTGCCCAGCTCTCTGCACACAGAGACCCAGGTTTCAAGGCTTAAAAAGCCTGGCTGCTTCACCCCAGCAGCTGCCTTTATTGCCTCTCCTGATAACTAGGCCTAAACTGAGCCCCTGGACTCCTTTAATCTTTTGAGGAAGGTTGCATTATTATCCTGACTCACTGGTAAGGAAACAGGCACAGAGAATGTCAGTGACCAGACCATGATTACACACCTGGTGGGTGAGGAGCTGGTACTAGAGTGCATGTGTGTCCTCACCTTGCAGCCTAGGCTGAGCCAACACTGTAAGGGACTCAGCAGCTCATGGAAGGCCTGTCACCTGCCCCTCAGCGCTCTAGGACTTTGGGGGAGGTTGTATGGCTATGCTGCAAGTGCCTGAGGACACATGGCCGCTGCCCTCCTGCCCAGGACCTTCCCACCACCCAGACCACTGGATTTTCTCCCATACACAGAATCTGACCTCAATACCCAAGAGTGCTATCCATCCCTGCCCTGGGAGCCACCCAGACCCTTCATGGCCATGCCCAGTCCACCCTAAACCCTAGCTAAATGCCCAGAAAGTGCCTGGTAATGGAGGAGGAAGCCCAGGCTCTGGGACCTCTTACTTGATCTCTGTCTGGCCACCTGCTTTCCGGGCGATCTGTACCAGCTCCTTCCCGTACCGCTCCTCTGCTTGGGCCCTGCAAGAACAAAGCATGGGCATTTCATCTCCAGTTCTGTTGGCCATGATTCCCTCAAATGTCTGCAGATCCCTCAAAAGTCTGCGACAGGACCGGAGAAGCCACCCTCTTAGCATCTGGGAGCAGGTTGGTTTTCCAGGCTCCTCCTTCAGAAAGTTAAGCCCCCAGCACTTTCTCCAAATCAGGGGTGAGGAACGTCCAGCCTGCAGGCTATATCATTTGGTCTGGCCCTGCCAAGGCAACCGCAGGCAGGAGTCAGAATTCAATAAATCTAGAAGTTTTTTTCATAGCAATATAATTTTAAGTTGATAATTTTGTATGGCCTATGAATAATGTTATAAATATCCAAATGGCCTTTGGCAGAAAAAAGGTTCCCCACACCCATTCTAAATAAATGTTGGCCAAATACAGGGACATCTGAAGAGTCTTGGTATTATTTTCCCACTTGGGGAAGGTCCACATCTGGGGAAACACAGGAAAGCCACAGTCATGACTTTTTTTTTGTAAGGAAAATAACTTTATGTATAAAATATGTTATAACATAATATAGGAAAAGGCAATATGTTTTAAGAGAAATGGTCCAACTTTTTGAATATTTTTTTATGTACTCATATTTTCAATATCAGGAAAAAATGGTTGTCATTTTCTTTCTTTTTTTACTTTTATATTTTTATTGTTGACACTATTACAGATGTCCCCCATTTTCCCCATCCTTTGCCCACCTTCACCTACCTTTACCCACCTTGGCCTTCACCACACTGTTGCCTGTGTCCATGGGCTATACTTATATGTTTGGCTAATCTCTTCACCTTCTTTATCCCCACCACCCTCTTCCTGAAAGCAGCTTGGCTGGGATGGGCAGCCTCAGTCATTTTCCAGAACTAGGTGGAGGGTAGCCTCCCTCCTACACCTACCCTTGCCGACCCTGTTGGTGCTCACCTCTGCCTCAGAAGCTCCTCCATGTCCTTGCACATCTTCCTGCCATCCAGCAGCCGCTGCAGCAGCATCTCATAGCCTGTGTGGGCTGTGAAGTCCCTGCACTGTCACACAGAACATAGGGATGTGAGAGGGCCATACTAGACAGTGCTGGGTGGAGAGCATAGCCTGGCAAGTACCCCTCTGACCACCTCCCCTTCTGCCTCTATCTTCCTCATTCAAAAGCTCTTAAAATTCAGGGCCTGGCTTCACACAGGCACACAGAAGGCCCCACCTCTCCCCACTGCTCCACATGTAAAGATACCAGGTATGTAAGTGAGACCTACCTGGAATCAGAGCTTACAGTCCAGGAGGCAACAACTCCCTAATGCAGGACAGCCAGCGGAAGAGCCACTACCAAGGCCCCATGATGACAGCCTTTACAGGGTCCCCTGCACTGCTCACTCCTGTCATTGTTTCAATAACCCTATTATCTCAGCTGTTTATGAAAACTGAGTCACAGATGGGTGAAATGTGCCCAGGGTGACACAGCTTGAAAGTCATCTGGGTCAAGTCCATGCTCTTAACTTCTACACTATATGGTCTCTGCACTATATGGGCTCTGTGTGGGCTCAGGTAATCCTCTCATGCCCACCAAGTAGGTAGGCTCTGAAGGTGACTTAAGTCAGGACTGGGCACACCGACACACATTTAGAACACAGGTAGGACATTTCATACATCTAGGACACGTAGGGCACATCTAGCACACCTAGCACATTTGGCACAAAACCTGGTTCGCCCCAGGTCCACCTCTTAACCAGGGCAGTTGAGGAAGTGCGTCTTGGAGAATTCAAGACACAGGTCCTATTTTACCTCCCACCCAGCATTTGGTGGCTGTTTCTGAGCCATCTAATTCTCTTTTCTCATCCCTGGAGTGGACTCTGAACTTCTGGTGTAGGTAGTTGGGGAGGGAGGTTATACTCAAGGACTAGGAAGGAACAGAAGTTCTCCTAAGACATCTCTAGGTCTAGGGAGTGGGTCTTGGGGTCAGGCTGCCCCCTCAAAGCTCACTGACTGCCAGGGGAGGAGGCGATGAAATGTCATACTGAAAACAGAGGCTTTTATGTCTCTGGCCCCAACATCCATTCGTATTATATATATATGTTTTATTGTTGAGAGTATTACAGATGTCCTGCCCTTTATTCCCCTCCTCGTTGCTCTCCTCCACCCAGATTCTACCTTACCCCAGGCCTTGACTACCCTATTGTCTGTGTCCTTGGGTAATGCATATTTGCATATAAGTCCTTTGGTTAATCTCTTCACACTACCCTGCCCCCTTCCCCCAGAGATTCATTACTCGATTCCACGTTTCTATGCCTCTGATTCTATTTTATTCATCAGTTTATTTTATCCATTAGATTCTTTGTTCATTTATTTTGATTTTAGATTCAATTGTTTGTTTGTTTATTTATTTATTGTTAATCCTCACCTGAGGATAGTTTTCTATTGATTTTTAAAGAGAGTGGAAGGGACGGGGGGGAGACAGAGAGAGAAACACCAATGTGAGAGAGACACATTGATTGGTTGTCTCCTGCACATGCTCCAACCAAGGCCGGGGATGGAGCCTACAACTGAGGTATGTGCCCTTGACTAGAATCAAACCCGGGACCTGTCAGTTTATGGGCTGATGCTCTATCCACTGAGCCAAAATGGCTAGGGCTATCCTTTTTTTAAAAAATTTCTTTATTGATTAAGGTATTACATATGTGTCTTTATCCCCCCCTTCCCCCCCCCCACAAAATGCCCTCACCACTCTGTTGTCTGTGTCCATTGGTTAGGCTTATATGCATGCATACACATCCTTTGGTTGATCTCTCCCCCTTACCCCCGCCCTCCCCTACCTCCCCTCGAAGGTTTGATGGTCTGATTGATGCTTCTCTGTCTCTGGATCTGTTTTTGTTCATCAGTTTTTGTTGTTCATTATATTCCACAAATGAGTGAGATCATGTGATATCTATCTTTCTCTCATTAGCTTATTTCACTCTCAGCATAATGCTCTCCAGTTCCATCCATGCTGTTGCAAATGGTAAGAACTTCTTTTTAACCGCAGCGTAGTATTCCATTGTGTAGATGTACCACTGTTTTTTAATCCACTCATCTGCTGATGGGCACTTAGGCTGTTTCCAAATCTTAGTTATGGTGAATTGAACATAGGGGTGCATATATCCTTTCTGATTGGTGTTTCTGGTTTCTTGGGATATAGCCCTACTTTGTTTCTTCTTCTTGTCTGATTGCTGTGGTTAGGACTTCCAGTACTTTGTTGAATAAGAGTAGTGAAAGTGGACATCCCTGCCTTGTTCCTGATCTTAAGGGAAATGCTTTTAATCT